AGACTGTAGGACTATAATATGCTCGGCTTATTTGATGATCCTAGATTTCCTCCAAGCTTTAGAAGCTTCAAAAACTCAGAATAATCTTCATCCTGATCACCAGGGTCCTTGGCCAAACCAAAAGGAATGGTGTCTAGAGCTGCAGAACATTTTAAATATATATATAAATGTCTAAAAGGTATATTGTTCTCCTCCAAAATATTAGACATCTTTTTCCTCCAACAGTTTCAATGTGACATATAACCTTAACATGGAAAAATATTCTACCCAAAAGTATAAAAAAAACAATACGCAGAACAAAGGCGTAGCATCTTGACATACTTGCTGGTGTCCGCTGAAGGGGGGTGGGAAAAATAATAAAATGGATGTGGCACCATCATCATATAAATGCCACCGCATATATACTTATGACAGATGTCAGGATGTATTGGCATTTGCACCACAGCATCACTGTGCATGTCATCATTTTGGCATCATCATGTCTCACTGAAGATGCCCCAGCCCAGGACTAAAACCATTTTGGATTTCTCAGCAGGCCTCACAGATAAGACTGAGATGGAAATCTTTGTTCTCAGGCCTTTGCTTTATTCGTGCCTATTCCCTCCTCCCCTTAAAAGCCAGGCATTAACCTGATGCTCAAGAACAACAAATTTATCCAAAACTAAAAACAGGTAGGAGGAATTTGACATTTAGTTTAACAGAAAAATAATGGTTTCGCATTACAGTATTGCTTGGATAGCATTTAAGCTTGATTCACCTGCACTTACAACTTTTAGAAGTAAATAGACAAAATGCATGTCTGCTATCTAATGACATAAAAGTCAATTGTTCCTCTGGGGACTCAAAGCCCTGTTCAGGCATTACTTCAAATGATGCAGAAAGTATACCTGCAAATGATGGAGGTCCAGAAGCACCGGTTCTGCTCCGAACTTCCCACATGCACCAGCCCCACCCAACCCATTCTGGGTTGCCACACCCCCAGCACAGCCATCCAAAGAGAGATTCTTAGATGAATTGGTTCACTTTGGTGCAAAACAAGAGCAAAGCCAATGAAGACAGCTGGGGGTCATTCCCCTGTGTGAAGCCCCACTCACTTTTCACACCTTTTGTTTTCCAGAGTTTGGAGCACTCTTTCCCAATCTGGCACACAACACACACACACACACACACATTGGGACTGTCTCACAGAATTCTCAGCCAATTGGCTAGGCAAATCAAGAATTCTGTGAGCTGCAATATCTGAGCACCAGATGTAGGAAAACTGATGTGAAGTACCTAAATCAGGAGCACCCCAAGGCCTCATTCAGCCTCCCCAGAACTCCTCCAAAAATGCAGATGAATTGAAGCTTTTAATACAACTGAAGGGAGAAATGGTTCAAGACACAGGGAGTCATCTTTTTAAGCAGATTTAATTAATTTATGTTTAATTACATTGACATTGTATCAAATTTAGTGTTTGTCCTGGCCTTACCCATCCTTTTGAGTGGTCCCAGCCATGTATCTGAAAAAGCCAAATGCAGTTCTTCTCCTAAAAAAATTGAGAACTCCTGGATTAATGGCACCCTGCCAAAAATACCCAGCAATCTTTCATTTGTGATGTCAGTGACAATATTGGAAAACAATATATTTCATATTGATTGACAGATTGATTTCTCATATGCCACCCCATTATAGATTTCCTGAAGAATCAGATATTTTTAGACTATAAGAATTCAGACGGGTTGTCTTGTTGAGTATATGAAAACTGCTTTGGGAAACACTTTAGTCTGAAAATTACAGTAAAACACTTTAAATAAGATAAACAATAGTAACAGAGATGAGTTCAATTGCACCTGCGTTTTGATTTTACTTCCACTGTGGCTTTGCATTCTCAAATTTCCTGGGATCAATGGAATGGTGGAACCCTCTTGAAAGAGAAGGAAAAGGGTGGCCTTTTCTTCTCTCTTGTCTCTAGCCACAAGGGACATCTGGTGCTCCAAGGGCACAAGAGGCACATGTTAGTCAAGCTCTGCACAAACTCTCATTAATAGTGTGGCTATAAGCCCTACATTGCAGAGGCCTGCATAATTGTTTCTAATTTTTCACCAATCACCTCTGATCAGACACATTTACTGTCCACCTCCCCCCCCCCCCGCACATACCTTTGCAAAACTATTCAGTGGACACACTATAGGGCCAAAGGAATAAAGAAACATATCAAAGGTGTATTTTTATCTGATCAGAGCACCCTATTATATGCTGCAAGCCCAGCTAGAAACAATTTTGAAAATAGTTCCTATGTTTTTCCCAACTAATTATGGGGATTACACCTTGGGAAATTAATGTAACTGATATATTTATATTGCTTTGCATACAATTGCATCTTAAATTGGTTGCCATGAATTCTCTGTTAAAGGTGTTGAGCTCCTATTATAATATGCTTAAACAGATGTGATAGAAGTTTGTCGTAAGACCATATAGCATTCATAAAACTTGAGAGATATAGTTCTTTGCCCGCAAATATGGAAAATATAGCCACCGCCTCCCCCTGCATCCACAGAGCTATCATTTGGACATATTTTCAAGTGAATCTTGATTCCATTATGAAGGCTTCCAACACCATGAAGGCTTTCTAGTCACCACTGAGGAGTGTTTCTATAGGTATAGTCATAAATGCAATCAAATTAGGATCAAACCTACTGCTCCTAGATTTTAGCCCTGTAGAATAACCAGTCTGAAGTTGGTGCCAGTGTAAATGTCAAGTCAGGGCTGGCCTCACAATGTGGCAATGTGAGGTGGCTGCCAACCATCACACATGGCAGAAGCACGAATAATAAGTTGCATTATGGAGCTGGGCAAAATAATATGTTGCATTATGGAGCTGGGCATACCATGCCATTGGCCTTGTGATCCATAAACTATCCTGCTATTCTCAGGAGCAGCTGAGAAGTAAGATTTACTTACTCAGCTAGAGAGTTCTGTTGGTGGAATGGGCTGGGGATTTGCTTCAGGCAAAAAAGTGTCCTGTACTGACTCTAGCACAGAGTGCCGAAAGCAATAGCATATGGGGTTCAGAGAACGTATGGCAGAACAAATGAATCTTGATCATCTCAGAATCAATAATTGGCAATTGTATTGCATGTCAAGGGTGACCAGTAAGAAACAGCACTTTGCTTTTCCAGCGTGCCTATACAACAACGCTTTTCAGCTTTGACCACATTCTTTGCAATGATGGGCTATGATTACTGTAAATGACTCTGAGAAAGAAGGCTAGGGAGAGAATCCAGAGGTTTAAATTCATTAGCCTGCTTGAAATAGGTGAAGCGTAATGCTTTTTATTCCTTTCCGTTCCTCCCCCTACTTCAGTGGACGATATAATCTCCTCATGGAAAGAGAAAGAAAGAAAGAAAGAAAGAAAGAAAGAAAGAAAGAAAG